TAAAGGGTCATTTAGTTTAATATCTTATTATAATTTGAATTGCTAAGTGATAGACACTTTTATATATAATTAGGTTGAATAGCTAAGAAAAATAAATTGTTGACGATTTTTCTCTTCTGACACCACAAAAGAGTGTTGTACAACCTACCTTAAAACAATATAACATGACGTTTTTTGTTTTAAATCAATTTCTCTTTCATCAATTATTTTTCCCCATTTGATATTCAAATCTAAAATGTTTATTATTAGAATTGAATCATCTCATAATCTTTATGTAAATAAAAACAATATTTTTTTTATATGTTACAATTTGAAATTTTATAAATGGACATAAACTACTCAAACTATTTATATAACGTTACAATGAACATAATATATCATATAACATGTCATTTTAATATATAACATGGTATATCGTACAAATATATAACATGGTATATACCATATAACGTGTAATATCATATCCATCGTGTTGTAAACAATATTCAAAACATATTACTAAGTTTACTGCTATATAACATAACTTAATATATGATATGTGTAATTATAAAATGACAATGCCATGTTAATATATGTCATATTATACATTATATAACTGCTATATTTCAAGTAGCATGTTATACGATACAAAGATATGATGTTTATAATAATAATATGGCATATCATGTTAATAATTGATATTTAGTATAATATAAACATGCTATATTTCAAATAATATGCTATACGATACAAGAATATGATGTTAATAATAATATATAATATGACATACAATGTTAATATATGACATTTTGTATGATATATAACATGCTATATTTCAAATAACATGTTATACGATACAAAAATATGATGTTTATTATAATAATTATGACATACCATATTAATATATGACATTTTTTTATGATTTATAACATGTTATATCATATAAATATTTAGTATATAGCATACTATACTACATTATTTTCACATTATATAAATAGTTTGAGTAATCACAAACATAATAAAATGTGATCATCAATATATATATATATATATGGTATGTCATTTATATGATTACGTTTCATTGTAATATTATAAGA